TGAACAAAGACTTGGCACCTCTGTGAATATTGTGGCCCATTGATGATCCCTTACTCAGAAAAATCCTAGATCCGCCACTGCTACCTAGTGAAACTTTCAAAGAATACAATAAATACTGGATGTGCATCTGCAACATGATATCATTTGTATTCCAATTCAATTTGATCGCCACAGACCTTTCAAATTATGAAAGACAAAAATGGCCGTAAACAGCCATCTATGCAGAGATTAGGCTAAAGTTTGATGTGGTAGTAGCTCAGAGTCAACCCCGACAAATTCTGAATGCTATCAGATCTCTCTTCATTTTGCCATTGGAATAAAATAAATTAATGAAATGGTAAATGGACTGAACTTATATAGCACTTTATCAAGTCCCCCCGGACTCCAAAGCACTTTACACTTACAGATATTCACCCTTTCAAACTCACATTCACACACTGATGYTGGTAAGCTACATTGTAGCCACAGCTGCGCCGGTGGCTGTCATGCACTGTTGCCACAGAACCCTCTGACCACCATCAGTAGGCAAGATGGGTGAAGTGTCTTGCACAAGGACACAACGACTACGACGTCTGGAACGGGGGATCAAACCTGCAACCTTACAGATACAGAACGACACCTGTAACCACTCTGCCACAGCTGCCCTGAAAATGAACTGAACTGAAATACTCCAATGTGTTCATTTTAAATCATGGAGTTAAATAATCATATTTACTCTTCTTTTGTGTTTATTCTGTTTAAATTTGGAAAACTTGCAATCTGTACAGAAAGTCATGCAATCTAATGTGAAGCATGATGGGAGATGAGAGAAGGGGAAAAAGAGTGAAGAGGCACCCAGTCATCCTTAAATACAATGCTACAGCCGCCTACACAGATATTTGTTTTTATAGGCAAATGAAAAAGATTTGACCTTTGTGCTTTCACTCCTCTGCATTTCTTCCTTCATTGGATTTACCAGTCTTTGCATTGTTCAACAAAACAGAACAAATAGCTGGAAAATGTCTTAATACTAAATATATTAAAATGCTATGCTGCCCAATATTCYAACACAACTCTAACAAAACACCTTTATGTGGCCAAATGAACTGTGCAGAAAGTATACAGAGAACTAAATGGTAAAACCATTTCTAGTGGCTAATTACAGTACCATAGTAATCACACCTTTTTATCCCCCTGTGACTGCCAAGTTAAGGAGAGACAGAAAATGCAGATTTAAAAAAAATCACCCATAAACAAACAGCTGCTGTGTGAAAACTTAGTCAGATTCGTTTTAATTCGTGAACTGTGAACAGGACGATAATCTAATGGTCACACATGAGTTCTTATGACTTTACAGTGTTTTATATAGGAGATAAGACAAGTTAAAAACATTCTCACTTTTTGTTTTTTAGATAATATTTTGAGCTACAATAGAACTGGAGGACTGGGTGTCCATTCTGTAATGAACTTGTACAAAAGATTTGGCAATCATTTTGCAACAGATCCCCTTCCTGATTCAACTTAGTGACTGTAGCCYTGTTTCCATCAAGGTTTTTTAATGCACATTTTGAAATATCGCATCAGAAAAGGTGACGGGAAACGACATGTTTCGAAAAATCTTCCTCTAATTCGCAAAAAAAGTTGAGACACTAGCTTGAGGTGGTTTTGGGGTTTTCGAAAAAGAGTTAATGCACAAAAGGGGAGATGGAAACACATTTGCCAAATAAATTCTGACGTAGCAATCACCTCACATGGTTGATCAGCTGTTCTCYCTTTCTGAACGGTACTGGACCGGTACCCGAGCGACTGCAGCTGGACCCTCCTCCCGCTGTTGGCGTGTTCTCAGTATCCCGTAACGTGAAGAGAATTGCATTTCTTTCTCTACGTCTGCAGACAGCATGTAAAATCACCAGAACTACTGTATTTTTCGGACTATAAGCCGCACCGGACTATCAGCCACACCCCCAACATAAAAAAAAACAGTACACCCAAATTTGCCGTCAAAAAAGTGAATTCAACATCAAAACATAAAAAGCAAACCTT